TTGTCACTAAGAGAAATATTTTCTGATCTTTGCCTGCTTGTGGAAGAACAGCAAAGATGGAGACAGCCTGGCTTCTTGTGGGAGGGAGTTCCAGAGCAGCAACAGAGAAGGCCCTCTCTGAATGGGATATTAGATACTGACCAGTAATTATCTAGTACTGTGGGATCGAAGGAGGGCTTTTTCAATAATGGTCTTATTACTGGCTCCGTTAAACATGCTGATATCCAACCCTGAGGCAAGGAGGCATTCATTACCTCTTGGACCCATTTGGCCAGCCCCTCTCTGGCAGCTTTTATAAGCCAGGAAGGGCAGGGGTCCAGCAGACAAGTGGTAGCCTTCACCTCTCCAAGGGGTGAATCATCAGGCTGCAATAACTGAATTTTTTCCATCAACACTGGGCAAGCAGGAGCCATAGTGACATCTGCAGGACCTGCATTAACTACAGCATCCAAGTCAGAATGGATCTGAGTAATTTTGTCTGTAAAGTGCTGTGCAAACTTTTCACAGCACGCTATTGAGTGGTCAACACTATCTTCCAACAGGCCATAATATAAGAGGTCCTTGACCACTCGGAAGAGCTCAACTGGGCAACTCTGTGCAGACACACTGGCCTTCTAATGGGCTGTAGCCCATGTTTGGTCGAATTCACTCCAAGTTTTCACCATCGTTGCTCTGGTTTCCATCTCATTAATTTCTTAACCACCAGCTCCCCACTAAGCCAGGCGGCTAGTTTGACTCCACCTCATGGGAGGGGATGCTTAGGAGTGATTGTGTCAACCACCCTGGCCATTTTCCCCATTCCAGAGGTCAACCAGGGCTTCAACAGAATTGCCTGCTGAGGCAACAGGAAACTCCCCAAGAGCTGTAGGGAAACCATTTGGATCCATCAGCCTCCTGGGATAAACCATCTTAATGGGTCCCCCACCTCTGCAGTGGCTCCAAGTTTCAGTGAGTCTAAACTCCACCAGATGATGATCTCTCCATGACAACGGAACAACAAAGCATTGCTCCACATCCAGATCAGCACCATCTACCCCAGTATAGAAAAACAGGTCTGCAATGTGCCCTGCAGCATGAGTGGGGGCAGATGCCATTTGAGACAGGCCCATGGTTGTCATGGAGGACAAGCAGTCCTGCATCACTCCTGAAAAAGATAGCTGTTTTTCCCAAACAGCTAGAAAGTGGTAAAAGTGCAGCCAAAATTCTCCTTACAGATGTTTTGATTACACAATTGCAGAGTTTTAGCTAACCACGTCATCAAGTTGTCATTATCTCCTCCTAGTGAAATAAAACAAAAATTACAAAGAATAAAACTTCTATTATTTCTGCACAAGGTTGGGAAGCAGCTGTAGAAGATACTCTTACCGTAACAATGCTGTAATGATTGGGAAATGTTTTTGACGGATATACTGGTCTCAGGCCACGGGTGTATGTTCCACATTTCCCTGGTGATTAGGGGAGGAGGAATAACATTAGAAATAACTAATGATTTTCTTAGAAATAACATAACTTTTTAAATCAAATATCTATAGACTTCTGAAAGAATATGACATTCAGCAATGCCACTAGAGACAACTTTCACAAATGCATTATTTATAACTTCGTAGCTGTTTTGAAGACAGTTATGCAGAACATAAACAAGGAACATGTGACTCCCCCAAAATGACTGAACTGCAAATCCCATAACTCCTCATCACTAGCTATGCTGGCTGGGGCAGATCGGAGCTGTAGTCCAACAGCATCTGGGTCACACATTCCCTACTTTATTTATAGAAAGAACATCAAAATAAATATCTAAAATGAAAAATGACAATACTATGCTATTGCAAAACATGAGAAATACTATGCTATCACAAAAGACATCCTCAAAAGAGCCCAGCAAATTCTTGTCAGCTTTTAAAATATCTCTAAAATGGTAAATGGAAAACTGCCGTGGGTCTATTACATTACTAAATTACAGAATAATCCTGAAAAACTCTGTCTTACTGATTCTTGTGTAAATAATACCTTCATATGCAACAAACTATGCTGTAGGCATTGCTTCTGCAGTTTCACACCAGAATGCATAATAGGAGGGATTCAGAGTCATGTGAACGCTGCTGTTTGTGCTCTTATGCAGTGGTATGCTGTCTTTTGCCCACTTCAGCTCTCCTCCCCCCACAAAAAGGTTGTTCCAGAGCAGCCGTTCTTAACATTTTTTCAGCCACAGTCATAAACCCAGTATGAAAGAAATATACGCCAAACCAGGATTGTATAATTCACATGACAGATCTTATAAGGGAGTTTGTGAAGAATTGCTTCCAGTCTGGGGGTGGGGGCTTCAAATGTTAAAGAAGCCTCAGGGGAATGGCTGCTCGAGAGCCAGGAGATATCTCAAAATGGTATGGGAGATGTCACGAAGAAGAAATTGTAAATGAGTTTTTAATGGACTATAACAGTGGTCCCCAACCTTGGGCCTCCAGATGTTCTTGGACTTCAACTCCCAGAAAGCCTGGCCAGCAGAGATGGTGGTGAAGGCTTCTGGGAGCTGTGGTACAAGAACAAATGAGTTTTTAATGGACTATAAGATCCAGAATGTTCTAGCCAGCATGTCCAGTGGTCACTGAAGCTGAGAAATTCTAAGTTTTGTACTCCAAAAAAACCCAACAACTTTTCCATGCTCTGCTTTGTGGGCTATAGTAGGGGGAGGAGCTAGTGGAAAATGCAGGGTGTCCACTTAAGAGATAAAAAATTCTAGGTACTGGTGTAAGGGCCTCTGAATCCTAGACCTAAGCCACTTCTCTTATACATAATGGGCTGGATTGTGAATTGTCATTTTGTGCACACTCATACTCCTCTCTGTCTTCTGCCACAACCACAACCCAATTTCCTGTGTTATCAGGAAGACTCCCCAAATCCTTTCAACCAAATTTTCAAGGAGTACTGAGTGGCTGCAGGGAGACAGAAGAAATTAAGAATTCCTGCTTTCTCCAGTCATGGGAACTCTGGACCCAAGCCAGGAAGTACAGGATTATACAACAGAAGCCACAAAAGTCTTGACACTGGCAACGTAATTGAGTACGTCAATAAACAGTGCAAAAACTCTTAGTAAACGAGGATAACAAACATATGCTGACATAATAATATACACAAACAGCGGACAGACATCATGTTTTTTCCCTGATCTCTCTCTCTCTTCTATTAGCACACTGGAGCTAGAAATCTACATACTGTAAACTAAGTATGTGGGATTTATATGGGGGTATATTGATCTTCTTTTGTGATTTTGTCCTGTTTTTCCACTGCCCTCATCCCCAATTTCCATGCCTAAAAGGTGCAAAGTCTCATCTTGCCACATTTTCCATGGTTGAGAATGTGGTAATTGCAAAGTGATCCTTGTCTAGCCACAGAAACAGCTGCTTAATCATGTCAACACTTCCTAGAACCCAAAGCTGGCTTCATCAGACTCATCCTTGAATCATCACTTGCTCTGAAGCCACTGTCATTATTTGGGTTGTTTGGAGTTTATTGGAGGTGTCAAGAAACTTAAGGGAGCAGACAGTGTGTAGGGGGGGGCTGCTTCAGTAACTATTATTTTTTTTCTCAACAGATCAACATGCTATTGCTCAGACAGAGCAGCTACTCACGTAATTTGTTAATAACAGGAAGAAGTTCACCCCATGTGTGCAAATACTCTGCTCTGAATCCATCCAAGGAAAACAACAACACTGGAGGTTTTGTAAATCTGAGCAATCAGAAATGAGACAGTTAAAGGAAGTAGCTGGTCATTACTAACTTGTTTTCTAGACACTCTTACAAGGAAAACTATGGTTCAAGTTTTCTGCACACTTGTAGTTCTCAACCTGTTGCCTGCCCATCAGATGGTGAGCTGGAAGAACTGGGACTAGGAGAAACTACTATTAGGCTACTCAAAGGTCACAGGCAGCTAATCCATGGAAAATTAAGTAAATAGAAGCTGATGCATTACACTTGCAGGAAGGCATGGGAATTGGCAGAGAGTGAATTCTCAGTATTAGTTATGAAAAACCTGCATCCATGTAAGCTACATCTCTATCCACCCGTGAAATGTCCAGCCAAAACCAGTGTTCTAGAAATCTATGCAGGCTTCTGCTTTGAGAGGGAAATCTACACAGAGGAAGCAAGGTCCCCTCTTTATTTTATTAATAAGCATCAACATCCTACTTTTTACTTAGTAAGGTCAAAGCTGCCTACTTGTCCTCCAACTTTATTATCACAGCAAACTGTAAGGTAGGCCACAAAGAGAAAAGTGACTGGTTTAATATGACCCAGTGAATTTACATTGGCAAAAGTAAGAGGTGGGAGAGAGAGAAAGGCAAAATACTGTAATACTTTGAAGATTAACATGTTTATTTGAATGCGAGCTTCTGTCGATCCAAATCTATTTCTTTAGACACCTCTCTCAGCATGGCCTACCTTACAGTTTGTTGGGACTGCTAATACATGTGCCCTATCTTTTATGCCAATGGGGCCAAGAGTCATGACAAAAATCAGAAGTGCCTATGCAGGAACTTTCCTCTTTTTTTAAATGGCAAAACCCAGCAATTTGCAGGCTGGCAGAGTTGTTTTGTTTCCATTTTAGGATTCGTTGCTTCTGCAAACTGTTTTCCTTGTGCATATAAATACCTTTCATGCTCAGGAAGCATGGTTATTTTACCTTATTCACAACTATCAGCAACTTCAATTACACACAAAAACAGTTGTCTTTGTTGTGCCAAAAGAAGTACAGCAAAGCTTAAGCCAACTTTATCTGAGTGTGACATATTTTGAGCCACGGGAGATCTGGAACAGGGCATGCAGACGATAGGCTGAGTGAGGGTGTTTTGTGACCCCAAAAATAACAAACAACAGATGATTCCAGAAAAAAATATCAAAAAGTGGAAACTTCATGCCTCTGGGAGCACAATTTTCTTCTGAAAGAAGATATTAGCTATTTATACCTAGTTGTAGCAAAATTTCTGAGAGATTTAGATGGGCTGCTGTGGTCCTCTGGGGTTCTTCGAACTGGAGAAATGATCCCCAGGTCACTGGAGTGTGTCTGCCCCACTCCAGAAGATACTGTGGCGATTCTTGGTGAACAAACCTGAATCATCTGCTACAACTGAAAACAGCATACAAGCTTTCTACAAGATCTACAAACAGAGGATAGTCATGCTACTTAGATCAATATATTGTAGCCTAATTATCATCCTGAGTAAGAAATGTGGTGCAGAGACTTTCTCCAGCAGTGGACTTTCCAGCAGTCTCATCCCTGAAAAATTCCTTTTCTTTCTGATTTGAACATCACTATGACTGAAACCCTGTTACCTAGTACAGTAAATGATACTAGAGTATCATTGAATCAGTGGGGATTTGTTGAGTCTACTCTTGTGTAAGTTCCAGTGATTCACTGCTAAGCAACAGGATTGCAACCACTGGAAGCTTTAGTCCTTCTTAGTTTCAAGATCTGTTTTAACACAATTACTACTAATCTTTACTTTTGGGATTTGGTTTTGTATACCGCCTCCCACCCACCCCCCGGTGATGGTAAAGAAATATTTGTTTAATTGGTTTTGTTTTTTTTCTAGAATAGTACTTCCAGAATTTTGCATAGTCATCTCTCTATGACCACCTTTTGGCCTTCTTAGGGGTAAAAGGCCATTTAAAAATTCTTTTATAAATAAAATTGCTATTGATTTGTCTTGAAAAAGTTGTGAGGAGAGCATATTTCTGAGCAATTCTCTGTGAGCTGCAGCATTAAAAATCCAGCTAAGAGCCAAGTTGATACATGTTTAGCCGTACTTGGATCCCTTTCACTAACATTTCTGGCAGTGCTTTGCAGGCTGGGGATGGGGAAGCAGCCATGACTAATTCTAGCTGGAGCTAGAATAAATAAAGTTAGTATAATATGTTAACATTTCCTTCCCATTTTGCAATTATCATTTTGCCTCTTTTTTATAGAGACTTATCAGGAGTAAACTTTACAGAACTTGCTTTTGACACATAAAGGATTATGGTGTTCAAATACTTTGTTCTCAAATGTCGCTCTATTTTTAAAATGATTCTATTGGATAAACAACAATGTACTAAAAGCTTATAGTGACATCGGATACAGATGGTAAGCCAGAAATCTCAACAACTGTGTTACAATATATTTAATGCAGGTTTTCAGGCTTCTGTTTGGAGACATTCTCTCAAACACTATGGTTTACAAATCTTGTATTCTTTATATCTACAATGCCAAAAAATGTATTCTCAGAAAGATCTTGAAAATCCTCTTAACTATCACATAAAATCAGCTGCATTCTGGAAGAAGACATCATAAGAATAAATATTATCTGTCAATACGACTGCCATGCTTTTGTTTTTGCAACCTGTTTCTTACTGTAAGTGTAGTGGCTCCTACACTTTTCAATATTTATTTATCTATTTATTTGCAAGACTTTTTTTAGCTGTGCCATTACCAGTGGTCTCTGAGCGGCGTACAACAATATTAAAACTTTAAAAACATTAAAACCATTAAAAATAGGCAATATTATAATAATATCCTATTTTAAAAACAATCATTAAAACATTAATATTAATAAATCCTGCTGCTCATATGGCCAACTAAAGAATACTATTTAATTAAAATGCTGGCTGAACAGAAAGGTCTTTGCCTGGTGCCAAAAAGCCAAGAGTGTTGGAGCCAGTCGGATCTCTGTAGGAAAGGCGTTCCAAAGTTGGGGGGCAACAGCCGAGAAGGCCCTATTTCGACATGCCATCCCCCTCACCTCTTTCAGGGATGGCACCTTCAGAAGGGCCTCCTGGCCTGATCTTAGAGGGTGGGCAGGTTCATATGGATGAAGGCGGTCCTTTAGGTAACCAGGTTAATAGTGTATTGCTTGGAGATCTTTTTACTACTGATTCTCTTCACCATAAAAATATTTAAATGGGTGAAGCCTTAGGTGCCCCCTTTTTTAAAAAAGAAAATGTTAAATCAAAATTAAGTATCCTTACCCTTCTGGACATTGGGGTTCATTTATGTTTTCACATTTTTCTTCAAGCCAACTTGTCTTACCTAAGAAGAAGAAGAATCAGAATACGAATAATAAGAATAACAATAAGAAAACAAGACAACAACAGCAAACAACATTAAAAGTATCAACAATAATGATATATCATACTATCCTATTTTTTCTAAGGGAACAACTTATTTATACCATTCCAATAGAGCAGGGGTGGGCAATTAATTTCTATGGGGGGGGCACATGAAAAATCTGAACTGTGTTTGGGGGCCGAACCAACTTTACTTAAAAATAAAATGAAACAGTGATGTTATAATTGTTTTTATTTTAAACTTGTTAATCTTCACAATACTAAAGAGGTTTTTTGCAGTACGTTAAAGATAAGCAACTGATCAACTTTAGATAAAAAGCTATAAATGGTTTTGATGTTCAAAACTGTCTGTGGGCCGGACAGGAGCGGCTTGTGGGCCGTATGTGGCCCTCGGGCCGCACTTTGCCCAGGTCTGCAGTAGAGTAACAGATGGGGAAAATGGAAAACACTAGCCCAGTTCAAGAATCAGAATCCAGAATTGTCAACATGCTCACAACAAAGCACCTCTATCCTGTTATCTCTTTCTTCACAAGAGCAACAAGTCTGAAGAGGAGAGATTCCTGATTCCATGTAGGCTCTCCACATAAGGAGGAACCTAGATTTTCCAGGGCTCTTCATTGTGACAACATGAAGAAAACAACAATGGAAGGTAAAAAAAGCCAGGAACTCCACTCTAAGGTTGTTATTGATGTTGCATTTTGCATAATGTCTGAACAGGGGTACTGAACTGCCTCAAAGTGAAAAAAAACAGTACAATGGTCCAATAATGCTTTCTAATATCACTCATCAATTTCTTTAACATGGTTAGGATACAGTATACAGTACTAGAAATCCCAAAAATACAAGTTATGCAATAGAGCAGTGGTCCCCAACTTTTTTGGAACTGCGGGAGCATGGGGGGCACCCCCACGCTCATGGGTGGGTGTGGCACTTTTGCAGGTGGGTGTGGCACGTTCACAAATGGGCGTGGTGCACTCACATAGGTAAGCATGATGCACTCGTGGATGGGCTTAGTGCACTCGCCGGTGAGTGGGGCATGCACACGCATGCATGCGAGCACACCACACCCACCCATGAGCACACCATGCCCACCGCAAAGGTGCCACACCCATCCGCGAATGCACCCACTCACCCACGCATGTGCACAAGCCCACCATGTGTGTGCATGGGGGATAGTAGATCTGTCTCTGCGGCCTGGTCTTGCAAAGCCCATGAACTGGGGGTTGGGGACCCCTGCAATCGAGAACTGCAGAATTAATATATTTATTTTTCTCTTTGCTGGCTGAAAAGTTTTTCTTCCTCTTATCTCGTCCTTTTACTGTTGTTATTACACTGTATTGCCCTTTTATAGAACTGCATGCATTGCTCTGGGATCTTTGTGAATGGCAATGTAAAAATATTATGTACAAAAAACAAGTAAGTTTCAACTGTTTGAGAAACCAAAATAAACAGACAATTCCATCACTGCCTTTTCACACCTTTCTATGATGTCACAATAAAAATGCTGATCAAATGTTGTACCTTGGCATACTGAATAATAATTGAAACAGCAATTATTATTTTTCACACAGTCATCAGAACAAGAACAGCGATATTCCGGACGGTTCTTCTCTCCACATCGAAATTTAGAACAGGTCCATATATGAGCTTTAAAAAGAAGGGGGGGAAAGGTTTTAATGAAAAATTGCTTGATTGGGTAAACAAATGGCATTGAATGCATACTTGCTACATTTCTCATTCTTGTTGTTTAGGGAATGAGCCAGTTTAACAAAGCCTCACAAAATTCTTTGCCTCCATTCAAAAGAGAGACAATATGGCTCTATTTTCCCAATGGCCTGTTATTTGAACAAAACACCTCCGCTGTCCTTTCCATTAGAGGAGCAAAGTGCATGTATGAATGTATGCATGCCCACCTGCCCACATACACACATATACATAGAGAGAGAAATAGAGAGAGAATACAGAAGAACTGGCTGATAGTTAAGAAAGATACAAACAACCCATCCATTGCTTTGAATTCTTTTTAAAAAATCAATTGTTCTAATTTGGGATAATCTATAGAATGGCACAACTTGCACAACTTCGTTAAAAAAAATGGAAACTTCTCATTTGCTAATATGAGAATTCTATGGAAAATACCAGTAAATTATTCACCATCTTTGCTGGTAAGTAAAAAGCAATGTTGTAGGTCCTCCTGCATCCTGCACGATGATAAGAGGAGTGAGGGCTTATAGAACTACAAATTAAGAAAGAACGTTCTTATTTTACTTTATTTTATTGTATTATCTTTTATATTATTTTTCTTCTTTCAGAATGTTTCCTTCAGGAGGGGAAAAAGTAGTCACTTTATTTTAGTCTCCACACATTTCCATGGACAGTTCGGTCTCTGAGAGGACAGTAACAGATCTCTTATGTCTTTTGAGACCACTCCCAGCCTACTCCAAGAAGCTTACTGAACAGTGGGAGAGGATGGTTACCTACCAAAAGGGAACACTACAGCATGAATTGGAAAGTTGTAATTCAGTCATAACTTTTCCAAGTTCTGCTGATAACTGTACAAGTTCTCTAAGCTGTGAAAGATCATAGAACGAGGAGAAAATGCTAAGCTGTCATGATGGCTTAATTCCTGTTCAAATCAGTGCACGTTTTTTCCGGTGATGAGAACAAGATCACAACATCTTGTGGGCCTACTGTTTAGCAGATGTAGGGAAAAATGCTGAGTGCTTATCCAACAAAGATCATGTGAGTTTTGCACCAGGACACATAAGATAAGAACTGGTTTGTTTCAAGAACTGGAATATTTGGAAAAGAAAGATATGCTTACCAGATTCTATACAGGCTTCTTGGAAATCCAAGCAACAGTTTCCAAGTTTAACACATTCACTGTCACAGCGGCAACTTCCAAATGTTCTCTCATAGCAACGACCTTTGCAGGTTTTGACTGAAATATTTAATAATTACTGAATATTAACAACGCATATTAGTCTGGGTCTAGTTTGTTTCGGTTTTACATGCACCTTACACAACTTTAAACAATGCAGTGTCTTCACTAAACAATAAGTGGACATTATCTGGAAGTTGAGTCATGGCAACTGGAAATCTTTCTTGTTAGGCTGAAACATTTTGCTACTCATACAAGTAGCTTCTTCAGTCTGAGGACAGTTGATAGGAGATCTACCACCTATCCTCAGACTGTATAAACTATTTGGATGAGTAGTGAAATGTTTCAACCTAACAAGAAAGAACTCCAGTTGCCATGACTCAACTTCCAGATAACCTCACCTTGGAATTGGACGCTGGAGGTAGGAAAGCTGTCCCTCTTTAAAATCTGCTGCCTGGTAAAGCTAATTTCTGTTACTTTGCACTAACACTGGCTTTAAATTCATCTACTTGAGTTTCATTAAATATTCACTTAAGATTTATGTTGCAATCTCACAGAAACTAAGAAATCTCTCTTGATCTGTAGCCTAAACAAAAATGACTGCTGATGTTCCATGGATTCAGTAGCTTACACGATGACTCCAATAGCACAAATGACTGCTGATGTTCCATGGATTTTCTGTCAGTAGCTTACACGATGACTCCAATAGCATATGAGTCTAACATGCAAGTTTGACATACGTACTTTTTGTGTGATGATGTACTGACACAATGTGAAAACCTTTGCAGCATCTACAGTTCCACAGCCCACCAAGCATCCAGGTTGAGAAAAGATTCCTCATATGTTATGGCATACATACATTCTCATCTGCACAGAGCTCTACAAGCAGAAAGCTACTCCTGTTGACAGGCAGCAAATGACTTATAAATGAAGAGTTCCGGCCACAAGAGGGGGGCAACTCTGAATTACCTGGATCCCCAGTATTTCATTACCCCAAGAAGCAGGATTAGGGACTGATCTAGGCCCTTCAGCTACACCAACTTAATTCAGTTAATTTTATCCCTCCCTTGCACTTTATATTCCTTTTGGATTGAGATTTTAAAACACCAGGCTGGATCCTGGAAATATTGTCCTTTGTCCCATAAGCCTTTTAATCTGTCCAACTCTAGCCAGCAGGATTTGGGATTTTGTTGTAGATGCACCACTTAATTCCTTCATGATCACACATACAATGGCCATGTTAGACACTCAATAAGCTCCTGGTACAGAATGAAATTTCCTTGAGAAAATGTCCATAGGAGCACAGCTTTATGTTACCGTCTGGACACACAGAGGACAATTCCCAGGGAAGACAATGAAACTGCTTTTTGAATACTGATTATTCGTGCATTTGATCATTATTAGAGATGGGCACAAATCAGAAAAACAGTGATTCATTTTGATTTGATTTGATCAAAGTTCATGAATCACAATTACAAATTTTACATATTTTTCTGATGAACTGATGAATCAATTTGTCAATTTGGTGTTGTTGTTTTTTTTACTTTAAACCTTATAAAATGCCCCCCCAAGTACCAAATTCACAGAGAAACTTTCCATGACTCTCTTCTACAAACTCTGTAAGTTTGGTGAAGAGTGGCTTTTGGACATCCAGGTTATACACCCACAAGGAGGGCTCCCCCAGGAAAGTTCCTTCCAGATACCTAGCAACCCCAAAATCACAGAGAACCTTCCCATGACTCCCCTCTATAATCTTTCCAATTTTGGCAAAGATTTGGTTTCCCAAAGCCAACTGCCAAAGGGTACTTTCCTGGAGGCACCAATTTTGTGGGTATATAACTTGGATGTCTGAAACCCAATCTTCACTAACCTTGGAGGGACTGTAAAAGAGAATCAGAGGAAGTGCCCAGGCAATGTTGGTGTCTTTAGCTGCCTGAGGGGCTGTTTTATAGCCTAACAAACCTACAAATCAAAAATCATTAAAAATTTGTTGATTCGTATACATTGGGTAGCATTGATCTGTATGAATACAAATTGATGAATTATCAACTTTTGAATGAATTTGGTGATTAATTTTTTTAATTTGTACCCATCTCTACTTGTGATACTACTTGGTTGAAATTCATATGATTGGGTAGGAGCTCTTTAACTGGGTGACGCCCTAAACATAAATGCAGTTCAAAATTTACTTCGTTAGATAAAAGGTACGACACACAGACTCCTGTTCAATCTTAGGAAGCCAGTTTGAAAGACTGTACGCAAATGAGTAATACAATAACCAGTTACTTGTTTGAATTGCCTCATGCATGCCTCGCTTACTTGTGCTTGCAAGTTTAAACATTCTGAAGTTATCTTTTACTATCTAAAATAATGCATTTCATATCAAAGCTTACTCAAACTGCTGCTCCAGTTGCTGCTGAAGCAATGTTATTTCATAACATAGAAATAAAAAAATTAGCAAAACACCCCATGCTTAATGAATATAAGAGGCAAGTTTCAGATGAAAAGAATGCAAAATAAGTTTATTACATGTTTTATTGCTTACCATCTCTTGTACAGCTAGGTTTCAATCCAAATATACACCCTAGGATTGTTGTTAGCACAATGACACACAATACCTAGAACAGGAAAACACACACACAGAGAGTCAAGTCTTTATAACACTAATTCTCTTCACACATGCAAACAGTAATACTTCACTTGATCTTAGCAACAAAACTGAGAGGTAGTAACAGAAGGAGTTTTCTCCTTGTTTTCAAGAAAGAGAAATTTCCATTAGTTGAACACATTTTTTTTTCAAGATGCCGATTAGTTTTATAAAAGGGATGGCTAAGTTTTTCTGGATGAACTCAACTACTGCCAAAATACTTGCATAATTTTGCTCAAACATTCAATGTCTCTGCCATGACATGGCGACATGAAGTCTATGCAATAGAGATCATGCAAACCAGATCAGCTTCTTTCAAGCAAGAGGGTAAACAAGAATCAACAAAGCTCATAAAAATGTGCATTACACTTTGAAGCTGCAATGCCAGCAACAGAGCCAGACTAAAACATTTTGCAATCAAAAGGACAAGATGGTGCCTTTCCTTAGTCCAAAGGAATGGCTGATCTGGTAGTTAATATTACTTCAGCATTCCACACCTGAGGGCTGCAGACTAATTTATGCTGTGTAGAGAAGGCTACATTGCATGCACAGCTGTACCTCCAGCACTCTGTCATTGCTCTAGATGCCTCAGCATCTGGTCCGCCAATACAACTGACTCACTATGCCTCACACTAAGGCTAGTTCTGGCCAGCAAAGATTAGCCTTCCAATTCCACCTAGTTCAATCAGAATAAAAGCATGTCCCAATCTCACACAAACCAAACGTTTAACTTAAACCTTTGTTTAGCTTAGAGTAAAACACATTAAATGGATATGCACCAGGACAAAAGAACACCATCTAATCAGTTCACTCACCATCTCCATCATGTCTAGAAGTTTTAAAAAACAAAAACCCTGCTGCTATTTGCCATCCCATTAACTGCTTCCAAGTGTACTGCTCATTGTCTTTAAATACAAAATAACAATGCATATGAACCTGATGATTTTTAAAGTCCTATTCTCCTAAGTCAGCTAACAACAAACTTTTTCCCTCCTTAGGGAAAAATCAAAAGTAAAAGAGTATACCAAATGTATGATTAGATTTTAAATCTTTTCTTGAAGAAAAAACCCTTGTTTTATCCAATTTACAAGAACTACAAAACCCAAACAAAGAAAATATTGTGGCCAGGTATATATTGGAACCACAAATTGCAGTATTCACAAAAGAATCAAAGAACATGAGAGACACTGCAGACTAAAACAACCAGAAAAATTGCAAGTAGCTGAACATGCCCTAAAACAAGCTGAACATGAAATTCTGTTTCAAAACACAGAAGTACTGGACAACACCAGCAATCATTATGTTGGACTGCACATGGAAGTCATTGAAATCCACAAACACCAGGAGAGCTTCAACAAAAAAGAAAGTTTAAAACTCAACAAAGCCTGGCTCCCAGCACTGAAAAATACAGCCTGCAAAAGGTCAACAAACTTTACCCAGCTACAAGGACTGGTGATCACTGCACACAAAAGATCAGCTAACAACACCCATCAATCACAGTGACAGATAATCTGTCCCCCTTATCACAACAATACACCCACAACAAAAAACACGCTGATCACTACAATCACCCATCTTCTGTAAAGGACAAAAGCTGATCCCTAAGCTATAAATACTCAACTATTCAAACAAACTGCACCAGAGCACAGACTTCTGACTCCTGTCCTCTGAAGATGCCGGCCACAGAGACTGGCAAAATGTTAGGAAGAACAACCTTCAGAACACGGCCAAAGAGGCCTAAAAACCCACAACAACCATCAGATCCCGGCCGTGAAAGCCTTTGAGAAGACAAAGAAAATATTGTTTCTTGTTTTGGAATGCGGAATGCTGGACTATATATAAAAATTCAACTGCTCAGCTGACTTTAGGGGAGAATGCCAGAATCATCTCGGGGACAACTTAAGAAATGTTGGAGTTAGCCGTCAAGCCATTGTAATTTACAAAAACAGAGGGTAGTCAGTAAGAGGAGTTTTGGATTCTTTAATTCAACCAGTGAAGTTTTCATACTGTTCCTTTCCTCGCTAGTCCTCTCAGACTATCTGAAATCTGTGTGGTGCAGGCACAGGAAGAAAATAAGCCACAGCCTGGATTTGCTTTTCACACATCACTGATTTGTTGTTGTTGTTGTTAAATCATCATAAGGAAATGGCACATTTCTAAACATATGATCCAACAAAACTACTCCACTGAAAACAGCATTGTAATGCAGAGTAATGCCACATGAGCAGAACACAGATGATCAAATATTAAAATGAAATAGGGATGTATTGACATGCACTTTGTAATTATAAACAAGTGGGGGTTCTTTTCTTTATAAAAGGACAACTGCAAGACAAAACTGGGTGAGTGTACAGTTCACTTTTTTGCAAGTAAGAACAAAAGTCCAAAACCTAAATGGTTTACTAAAAACTACTTAGTGCCGTAAACACTGCTATACCACCTCTCTAACTGCTACATGCAAACAGATTCACATTACAAGTGGATATAACTCATCATAATGAGCAGTCCAGACAATATCATCATGGTCAGTAAAAAGTATGAATCTTTTCCTGTGGTCAGGAAGTCTTGCAGAAATGACCATGTTGCTGTTAAGCTGCACTGATTCATGCCATTCTGGATTCTTGGGCAAACCAAACCACATATGGGATGGTTCACAGCATCACTCACCTCAGAACATTACAAAAATATTATTGTGTTTGCAACACATTGGCCCAATGCACAACACTTGAAACATGAAATAAATCTGAGACATATGATCGACCACAGAATGAGCCAGAGCATCCCCCCAAAATTCAGCAGAACAAATCAAATGTAAGACTTTAAAATGTGGAAATGTTCACAATTATTCACTTTTTGGCATGTATGTTATAGCTGTTTTCGCCACAATCCTGCTGGCTTACATGACTGCAGAAGAAAAATTGCACAAACTTCGCTCCACAGGCTGTCCTTCATGCAAATGGTCATGCATTGCTTAGGAAGTCAGACCAACTGTCCTAAGGACAGCCTACCAAAGGAGAAAAACGAATTCACAACTGTACTTGCACATATTATTTTTAGGCCTTAGTACCTAATTGGCATACATGTCACCTCTTGTACGGCAGTCTTTTTTGGAAATTACAATTGTAAATGAACAGTAAATCTCCTGCCACAGTACATTAGCAATGACTTCAGTACAGATGTTTTTCCATTGGTCCAGCACCAAATGCAAGCAGCACAAGGATACAGCTTCCAACTTCAAAGACACAGAAAAGAGACAAAACACGCACGTTTGGTTCTTTATTTCTGTATATCCATATAACACTGAAAGAATAATATGCTCCTGCACACAGACTGTTTGCACATCTTTGCTGAGGTATTACAGAAAGAGGACTGTCCATAAGTAGTGCACATTTTTTAATCATTTTGTCCCATTTTAAGATGTATGCCTCACACCTTTGTCACAATTTCACTTATCTCTCAGATCCTGATGTACAACATATTATGTTCACAAGCAGGAAATGGAAAGCTGGAGGCCATACACTTCCTGTCTCACCCACATTGGCATTTCGAAAAATTCTAAACAATTCAGATGCTCTGCAGATCTTATTTAATAATTAATTATCAAAATTAAATAGAAAAGTCTAATGCTCTTTTGCTTCCCTGTGGCTTTAGGCACATCTACAAGATAGCAGACAATCAAGTGAATACAGAATTTATTGATTTGGATTTCATTGCCACCTCAGCTTACATCATTGATCTTTAGCTCAGACAGCTGAGTTTTTAGTGTAGTTTCACAATACTGAGTAAGGAAAGTCACCTATGTAGATCCAAAGTTATAAAAGTCCTTCCATTTAAGAGTCTAAAAAAAGGGGGGGAAAGGGTGTCAAAGATTAAATCTATAACCCTAAAACAGTTTTAAAACATAACTCATAAATTTTGTGGAACCTTGTGTCTGAACACAAACATGATTTGTTCTTCCATGAATTATTTAAAACCCGAAATAGCTTTGGAGGACAGAGTCCAAGTCGGAGCGGAGAAGAATGGGTGGGTGGGAAGACATGACATAAGCCTTTCCCCATCACTCCTTTTTTAGCTCCAAGTCACTATATTTATCGCTGCCTAGTTCTTCCTGTGGTTGAAAAAGCACCTTGGAGGAGGGAAATTGTGAACCGAAAAGCAATCAGAATGTATGAGAAGAGCAATTCTCAGCCCCATTCCTAAAGTTTTTTCTTTACTCAGAGGCAGACAGACCAAGCTGCTTTAGGGCTGATGGCAGGATAGAGGGAAACAATTACGTAACTCCATGTAATTTGTCGTTTAAGCTGGGTTAATAATGCACAGTCTGACAGCATCCCCAAAAGAAGGGAATGGTAAACCTCTTCTGAGTATTCTCTACCTAGAAAGCCCTGAAAATGGTCACCATAAATTAGAACTGACTTGATAGTACATGATTATTATTAATAATGCAACGGACTATAATTTGCATTTGCTCCCTGAAGGTAGAAACATACTCAAACCCGCAAATAAATGCATTCTTAACTAAAATATAAATAAATAAAAGTGTATGAATCTGAAACTAATGAACATTACAGAATTCATTTTAAAAATAAATTAAGATCTTTAAATTATCCTTGACACATTATAAAACTACCATTTGACCACATGATGTTTTGGAGATTCCAAACATTTTCAAGCAGGAATTCAGTACAGAGTCCTAATTTTATATGCCACTGTCTGGAAGAAATATTTTAGAATTGGTTTTTGGGGTTTGGAGGAAGGAAGATAATGTCCTGTTTTACTGCGAAATGTATTTTTGTGTATGTTTGTATTGGAACAAACTTTTGTATTCTAAGCATGAGTCTCTGTCCTGTTCCTACTTCCTCTATGTGGGAGGAAAATGGAAAGCATCAACCTGTAAACAGTATGTCATAGTGATTATGGGCAGGGACAACAGATGGTCAGAGATAGCTGGCAAGACACTTTTTATGCTAC